TCGCATGGCTCTTCAGAGCACACCAACATTCCGTGTGGCGCTAAAGTGGCTAAAGGATTTCTATGAGGCATTGAATGGTGGAACTGTGGTGGACTTTGCAGAGAACGAGGGCAAAACACTATTCCCAGGGCTTTCTCAGGTTTCTTCCGTTGGAGAAGCTGGGTTTTCACAGCTTTCCTTTGCTGACTTGCCTTCGCAAAGACGCGGTGTCTCCAGCAACGCTGCCGAGACAGCAGAGGGCGTGGATACCTGTATGGCAGCAGATGCAAGCGATTCCTCAGAAGATAATGAAGATGAGGGCGCAGTAAGCGCAGTCAGTGAGAATACAAAGGTGCCGGAGTACGGTACGGGTGCGACAACAGCAAGTAGAAGTCAAACTGAAGATGATAATACCGAACGTACCGAATCGACACCGAAAACGACAAGATCAAAATCAACTTCACCTCAAGAGGACACAGCCGCGCATGAGCGAGCCAAGGCTGTGAGTTGGTCGTTCGCAGATCGTCCAAGAGTGAATGGTATGACGAAGGCTCAGCGTAAGAGAGCGCAAGCAAAAGAGGACTCGCGAAAGGCTCGAGTGATTGCAGCTATCTACAGGAAGGGCAGATTGACGAGATTCGTGGAGTTCCATGAGGTCGCTGCTCTGCTGGACGGTCCCTACAGCTTTTACTACTCCAAGGCGATGGTAGATGCGTTGGTGATCCCAAACGTTGAAGTCCACGGGGAATTATCCTTGAAGCCGTATGCAATTGGTCAAGATGTCCCCCGCATCACCAAGATTCTGCAGTTGCCGGTAATCATGGAGGCAATTGAAGCAATCAAAGGCAAGGACGACATAGATCTACTAGCGTTTTGGCCGGACTACGGATATGCCACCTTCGACCAACTGGATGCAATGGCAAGACTCATTGAAGCGCGAGGTCGCTTTATTCTGGTGATGAAGACTCACAAGTGGATTGACGAAATGGAGTGGCGCGTGGCAGACGTACGTGAACCTTTCTTCGACATGACCCACGTGACTAAGGTGAGCTATTACCAAAATTACACCAAATATCCACAACATCTAACCGAAATCTGTTATACAGAACGAACATAAGGGCTACGTGGAGACACTGAACCTCAGTGTCATTCGGGCACCTGGAGAAGTAGTAGAAGGATATCGGCTACTGGACTTTCGTGAGAATTTGTGGCTTCACACAACATCCATACTGATTTCGATGATGGTGCTCCGAGCCCAATACCCTGGTGTTGGTATTATCAATCAAAGCTACCAAGACTTTGCTTTGCCGGATCAACGACAGCATGTAGCAGGAGGATTCGGAGCAGCGGACCCGAAATACGACCGAGTGATTGGGATATTCAATATCTCTAATCATTGGGTTGCCTATCTGATCAACCGCAACATTGATCATGCTACGAATAAAGCATCGTGCTTTATGTTCGACCCAATGCAAAGCGACCATAACTACAAGATCATCGAGAAGAGCGTTCGTGGGGGGATTGAGGAGCTGCTTCAGTTGCAAGATTCGATCGACTACACGAAGATTGAGTGGTGTAAGCAGAAGGACGGGACCTCGTGCGGAGTATGGTGTATCGCGGTACTGGAAATGCTTTTGAGCAACGGGTCGTGGGATGATTGTTTGTACAGACTGCAGCCGTATTTGCGCATGCGCTTTTTACACAAAGCCATCGCTTTCGTTGAGAAAGAGGCCGCGATCATGCAGTTACCGTTGTAGATAAACTTCAACTTTAAGACACTCGATTTTCATTTTCTGCTTTATCGAATTTTGTGGAACCAAATTTACACATGACTACCGAAATTAGGTCAATGAGCTAGAAAATACGCTAAGTCCCACAATCCCCAAAAATAGAATTGTCCCCAAAAAACAGCTCCAAAGTGATGTTTCAGATTTACACACTAAACGAAAATAAAATAGATTTACCCTAGATAATGGGTATAAATTTTCACATCTGTTTCGTTATCGCCAAAAATAGTCCACAAAGTTGATTACGGGATTTCTAAGTTCTGTGGTGCGAGCATCGTCCATTCAAGATGTAGCCCTGGGAACCGGTACCAGCGAGTGCAGATGAAAATGTATGGGGTAAGAGGTTACGGCAGTGTAGGTAACGACGTCGCAACAGTTTTCTGTAACAACGCTATAAACACGTTGGAACGTTGGTAAAAAGCCCGTAAAAACAAATCCACTGTGACTACGTTGTTACGGACTTTTTACCCGTTGCTTCGTAAGGAAGAGGGAAGATTTCAATTACTTCCTGCCTAGAAGCTAACGCTCAGACTGGGGGCAGTACGCATTCGAGCTGCGTCTGTTTTGCGTCGATGCCCACCCCAGCGAGCAAGGAGAGGCAACACTTCTTTAAGAGTCAGACTCAGCTTGTACATCCTGACGGGACTACTTCTGATAAGCACTATTGATGGATATGCAAACTGTGCCAAGCTGCCCATGTAAACAACCCCAACGTTAGTCCTCCAGCCCTGATTCGTGACCGCGCCGACACATACCGAAGCCACCTCAAACGTTGTCCCTACCACCAAAAATATGTCATGGCCGAAGCTCAAAGATCCACAATTTCATCAACTCGATCGGTTTCGTCCGTCATCTCTTCCAGCAGCAATGCTTCGAAACGCCAGAAGCGCATAAGTGATTTTTTGAGTCGTTCGGGGACAGCGCAGTATCGAGCGTGACTTGCTCGAATTTCAATCCGACTGTGCACTACCAGATTATTTTCACAACCTTCAACCAAAAGACTATTTGCACGAATTCCCCACTTCGAAATAATCGTCACAAAAGGAACTAGGAGGACGCGTCCTCAAGACCAACTGAAAGAGAGCCGAACACGACTCTGAGGAAAATCTCAGAGAGCAGCAAGAAGAAACCGGAGGTCGTGTTAATTATCTGTGTGATGTCGGGCAGAACGTTTCCGACTGTATCTTCTCAGTTGTCAACTTCTTCTATTTGGCTCAGACCACTACGACATTGCTATTGCGAAGCCGATAGAAGGATCAATCAAACAAGCTTTAGTACTTGGGTGGAACGTGGGAGCTGTTGTTACTGATGACGATGGGCAATGTGCTTGGGCAAGGCAGATATTAGCGCAGAGGTGGCCAATTATCGTGTTTTTGCGCTGTTTTGAGCACGATGTGAAAGTTTGGTAAAGGCGGTACCCCCAGACAGTCTTCAAGGATGTCACAAAACAAGGTGCAACAGCTGCGGCTACGCTGAACAGCTCGTCAGCCAAATGGCTTGTACGTGGTAACGAACGCGTGTACGCGATGTATGGCGAGACGTTGGCATTCATCGCGCTCTGTAAAACTCGATGGAACAGCATGCAAGCATGCTTCGCGAGTCTACTTCGCTTGCAATCTGCACTAGAATATCTAGCCCATGAATATCGCTATATCACTGAATTTCCTACTGCTTTAAAGGTTTCCGAGATCCTACATTCTGGAGGAATTTGATTGATGCCGAGCGCGTTATTAGATCTCTATCAGAAGCTTCGTTTCGACCTCTAAAAGATGACAACTCGATGTCCGATGTTGTAAGATGCTTTTGGAAGAGCTATGCTGCATTTTCAGCTAGTCCATACTCGTTGTATCTGGTCCCGGTCGTGGAAAAGCGTTTGTGGACTGTGAACAGCCCCTCATGTTACTAGCATTTTCTTTGCACCCACCGTACGTGACTCACACTCGGGCAATGATCGCAGCCCGCGACAACACGGTGCTCTCAATGTCAGTAGATGGAATATCTGCTGTAGCAGATTATTATCATCGGCGATATGTTAGTACGGATAGCAGTGGTCTTTACAGGCGATGGCTTCGCGGTAAGTACACCCCCAAAAAGTGGGTTGATTTCGCGGATCCTCAAAGGAATATTTCAACCGAGCGGTGACATTGCCTTTTTGATTCATGTGTGTGCTTCGTGGTATAGAAAGAACAACAAGTTATCAAAACTCGTAAAAGTAATTCTTTCTGTCGCTGTGAACACACAACCTGCCAACGTTACTGCAGCAAAATGAGCACATTACAAACGACACGAAGAGTCTAGCTCAATTTCGAGACGACGCTTTTAATCGCAGTAATCCGTAGCGAGGCTCGTGAAGGAAACCGGAGAAAAGTGAAGGTGATGACGTTAGGAAGCAGAAGAAGCCGATAGATCCAACGGAACGAGCTAAACTACAACTGCAAGGGGTTGCGGACCCAGCAGTCTCTCTTTCTGCTCCAGCGGAAAACGCAACTGAAGTCGACTACATGGGAACGGTGGGAGCGATTAGGTTCTGGCTGGAAGCAATCGCTGGCCTCGCAGAGGACAGTCCTTGTGACGCCGACGCAGAGCGTGCCGATTCTGATGAAGAATGGTATGTTTATGACTCCAATTTGGAGCCGATCCCTGAAGCCGATAGAAGTCAAGAGCTTCCTGACATCAACATTGTCACTTTGCCACAGAAGAAACGATTTGTCGGGGCTGAGAGGGCAAAAAGTGACGTTGCAAATCCTATTTGTTTCTCGCATTGGGCTGCCTTTGACGTTGCTACCACTGTAGCGATGAGTGAGCAAATTGCCAAAGCTGATACTCTCGTTGTGTTGTGCACCGCAATAACACTTCATGAAACTTTACAAATTTGAACTTCTCTTTTCATTTTGTCAGTATTATCTCGAATGAGTAAAGCTCACGTGTTCAATCTTCAAGCGACACAAGCTTGGACTTTCTTTCACTATCCGGACTTCGACCCAGCTCTTAGCAGAGCTGAATCTTCAGCGAAACAACCGAGATAAAGCGCGCGACGACAGCTCCACCGCCTCTTCATCCAACAACACACGGATTCCTGCGTCTGGTAGCGTCTGAACGCGTAGTTTGAAGGCGCTTGTACTTCATCCGAGCTCGCGTCGGCGGGGGGTCTTCCTTCGCCATCCCGTTGGCCTTCTTGAAACCAACACGAGCTGCCTGTTTTGCTACAGCGGTAGCAACAGAAGCTGCGCATACATGCCCACGGTCAAGTTCTCGGACAACCAATGTTCGTGAAGCATACTAAACGAGGCGTGAAGTTAGCGCTGCTGTTGCTTGAGCTGGAGTTGCTCATGCCCGACGACGAGTCCCGCTTCAAGTTGCATGAATCTTCGGATACCGAGTGTGCCGCCGATTAAGAATACGTATTGCGTAACAACGCGTAAAAACGCTCCCATGCATTGGTAAAACGTGACAACGTTGTTTCCTCCCGTTGCAACACGACGTTAGCAAACACTGGTTATGGAGTACGAGGGCGTGATAGCTGCGAATGAGTGCAAATCCAAATTAGCTAATCACAATACGTAAATTGCAGATTGGTTTTTTATCAACACTTTTGATCTAGGCTTTCATTTTGAAAGCTGTCGGTGCTAGCACCGACTAATGCAGTCTCAATCCACGACTTTGAATTTGAATTTGCGACAGTTTAATCAGCTAACTACATTCAAGAAAGCATCCATTTTTTCATAACTCATACCAGGAATACTTTAAGTACATCTTTTCTCTTCGTGCTAACCCTCTCACTAAAATAAAAAAAACACTTTGCAAATACCAACATCGATTTGGGTCGACCAAAAAGTTGTCCGAAAACTATCGAGCGGCAGGTGCGGTAGGTAGAGAGCTTTATATACTTTATGGGAGCAAAGTCGATTATAGATCTAAAGTATACGGGTTGACGTCGGAGTCCACCTTCACATCAGGTATCTTGACCAGCAGGGCGTGCAGAATGTTACTCAATGGACCACAAGAAAGTGAGATGCCCCACGTTTGCGAATGTAGTAGCCAAAGTTTCGCCTTCTGCTTTCAGAAAGCTCTTTTAATCTCATTTTCACTGCACTCGAATTTCTTAATTTCTTATCTTGATGTCGTGTTTTTCGGTGGACGTATTTCATCGCAAAGCTGCAATAAGTGCTTTTGGCGGAAAAAAGTATTGGTGCTCGTCTTAGTTGCTGTTATTGAGAGTGACGGCGACCAAGCCGAACGCGATAAAATAGAATCATCGGTCCCAAATAACCGGGTGCATTCTAAATAGTCGTTCTTCGTACTACCTCGTACTCCGTAACCTCATACTCCATACATTTTCCCAGATTGCAGGACCGGAGAAACACACAAAAAAAGGGGATGGCACCCAGAAAATGAGCGTACACACAAAAGCTGTGTTAGCCACACCACGAAAACGTAGCACCACATACATAAGGACAGACCAAATGTGAGCGAATGCACACCACTCGATTCTAGCAAATCGTGTCGTTGAACAAAACTGAGTTTCTACAAATCCGAATGCTTCGTTGGTCTCCGCACTCAACGAGAAGTTACGGATTTCAGTACATTCTCGAAAACGCAACATCTTCGAACCTCCCGCCCCTAGTCCCATCTCGAACTACGATGACACCAAGATGCGTGTGGAAGACCGTATGTAGTGACATGGCTCGCGGAGACCCCAACTGCTAATGGAAGATATGAAGATGTTCGTCATTGTGAAGAGTCAGGTTCCATGCTCCGTATGCGCTCTGACTAGATCGCATAAGATGCGATACCAGTTATTAAGGTGTCCCTCGGAAGCATGCAAGATGGCAACACCGTACAATTATTGTCAGTGGCTGGGAAGGTGCTTACCTGTCCAGAACTCAATCGAGTGACAATGGTGGAGTCTGGTACACATGAGACTCTCGTCCGGGAACGCCGCTAGCCGCAGCTGACGCCTCAGCTGAAAGTCTACGGTCGAGCAGTGGTCAAGCAAGCCTTGAAACCGGCCCGAATTCGCATGGGTATGGCACGGCAATTATTTTTTTTCGGGTTATCTGAGGCAGACATGCCAATCCTGCGCCAGGTGCAATGGCACTACACCAAGAAGACGCTCTACCGAAACGATGACCACGATGAGATCCAGGGACAGATCGACAAGCTGGCGTATGGACCCGAGGTATCGGACACTAGTTCATTTTCCTTTGGGTGGGAACGTGACATCCGTGAGAAGCCGGATGTCGGCAACGGCTCTGACGAAGAACCGTTTCTGGTGGGCTTGACTAGGAAAGGCAAAATGCAGTCCGCGACCCCGGAACATTCGTGTTCCGCATGGAAATCGCCTTCAAGCTAAACCAAGTGGCGTATCCAGTAATCGTCTGTGGAGTGTCTGACAGATGTCGCTCATTCCACTTGCTCGCTCTGTTTATCACTTCACAGCGATTGGAGAGCCTGTACGTGAAAGCGCTGTCATCGCTTCGCAAAGTTTTCACTGCTGGGACTGGCCAGCAGTTGCTGGCCAAATACGTTATGGACAATACTGAAGTTGAGCAACCGAACGCCGTGAACCAAGGTTTTGGTGTGGATTCCGACTACACATACCTGATGTGCTTATACCGCGTGATGACTAAGGTTCATGAAAAGCTCAAAGGAATACCGGACAGTTTGTGCGAGGTGTGGTCATTGATATCTACAACTTCATTTCGTGTCTTCAAAGGAAGTGTATGACGAACAGATGACGGTTGTACTGGAGAAGTGGTCACGTGAAGAGCGGATGGTCGGGTTTCGGAGCCACTTCAACAACATTTGGATGAAGAGTGAGTTTTGGCGGTGGCAGGGTTTCAACGGATCAAGTGGATATGCCACCACGAGCAATCCTGTGGAACAATTCAACCGACTGATCACGTGTCCATCCCACGTGGGTTCTCTCGGCAGTTCCTTGCGAAGCCACGTCTGGTGCTGATATCATCACGGATTGATGAAAAGAGAGTACCTGCACCATGAATGAGCGGTCTTGTGTAGCCCATGATCCATTCTCTTGGTCGTCAGTTGCTACTCTGTTCACCCCCCCCCCCGCGGAGCTTTCTCCACTTAAGAGCAAGCCTGCCCACGGCGTTGAAGTCCTTGGCCCATTCCATAAGTATGTATCAGTGTTGGCATCGCGTGCACAATGACGCAAAAAGCTTGCGCTGCAGCAGTAGCAATTGGAACCATTATCATCGCCGGTTGTTCCGCCACGGGGGTATAGGCCACTCCACCACTTTGCACAGCCGTCACTTGAACAGGGGCATTAACGCCGAGACACGTCCCCGGTGTCTCGCTTGGACTTCGGCTCTCAGCCATCTCTAGGGATATTCGGGTGCTCCAAAGGATGGGTAGCACCAGCAAGTAGTCCTCTTGCCACATCTCTTGACGGTGGGTCGCAAGAGGAGCCTGGAATCAAGGCCGTCGACGTCGAACACCCACTCGACGTGCCTGTTTCCGAGTACGAATCCTCTTCACTCGCGGCCGGGTTCCCTATCGAGGCCTTGCTCTTCGTCCGTCGCGTGCGAGCCACCACAACCGAGCCAGCCCGAGATGTCTGCTTCTGGCGGACTTCATCGCTTGCACGAGCGCCAGCTCTCTCCTTGCTCTTCTTCGACTTGATTGCGGGCTTGTACCGCGCACGTTGCGTGGCATTCTGGTGGTAGCGGTTGCTGCTGAAAGCCAGTGACGCTGGTCATCTTTCTTTATGGCTTGTTCACTGGTGCTGCCGCCAGGATACTGGTATTGTGGCGGATCAAGACGTCGCGTGGCTCGCTTCTCCAGGCGTGCACTCTTCGCCATCTTGTACTGCTGCAAGACTGAGTTGGCGCCATAGACTATGTAAGGATTATCTAATCCTTACATAGTCTATGGCAGATTACTGGGCGTTGCGACGGGTACACAGTCATACCTGGGCGTAGTGGCCGACGGGGCACTCTCTAGATGCCCTACCTCAGCCACCATTAGCTCACGGCCATCCTTAATGCGAGGGCAAAGATTCTCAACTCCGTTACCGCTGTGCAGCTCGTGAGATGCCTTTCGAACACTTCCATAAACCACCTGAAAGTATATCATGGGACATTATATAAACTACGCTAACTCATAAAGTACGATATCATATTTTGCGAATATATTATAAATCAGTGCACATCTCAGTACTCTTGTTCGTATCGTACGACAGCCTTGTCACGCCCAGAAAACCTGTGGCATCTTTTTTACGCGACGCGTCACTCGATTTTCACTCCCGCTAGTCGCCTATTCGGGGGTGTCTGCTGCTAAATCAGGCCCCCACGGCGGTTGCGCGCTAATTCTTCGCCCTGCAAATCGTAGCTAAACATCGAAGATTTACATAAACACCTGTCAGAGTCGCCACCTGATGCAACCCAGGTTCCATACAAAACGAGCCTTACTTAGTGGCATGTTAATTCTTCGCGAACAGTAATATTCGTGACATCTGTTCGAGCGCTCGAACAGATGCACTTCATAGCTTTTAGAAGGGAATAAATTTTGATCGAAAATGCCCCAGAGCATGCTATGATAGATCTTTCCCTAACCCATTCTCGAACTTAATACAAGGGCTCTATAAAAGGGTGTGAAAAGTACATGTAAAAAAAGGGTACGACGTCGCACATGGATTTTTATTATAGGGGGACTACGCACCAATTATAACGCAAAAACTCAATGACGAGTACTTGCGTGCTTATTTGCACAGAAAATCCCCTCGGTTAGCGTTGAGAACCTACATGTTATTTATCTAAGGTTTTCTACCACGGCCAAGCCGCTATCAATGTTTAACTATCTAGCATAATTAAACCTAATCAAATGCATATCGTGTGGCCCTCAGCCTATGTACTGAGGGCACTGTTAGCTCTACGAGTCATGTACTGAGAATCTGTTAGCTCTTCGGGTACTCCATACCCATGTGTGCACCACACCCGTGTAACCCCGTTACACCCACCGTTGCTCTGTTTGATAGGAGGACTACACCTTTGCCCGTCCAAACTGAGATTAGTTTTCAAGCAAAGCGGAGAATTGTTTTTATGAAATATGAATATCAAGTTAGGCAAAAGTAATCAGCAAACCAAGCGAGAATAATTTCATCCAAAACAAGACAAGGAAAGGTGGCAGCCGTAAAATGCGTGGTAAAGACGTCTTGGCGCCAAAATGCGCGCGAAAGCCTGCGCACGAGGCTAAAGTAGCTCACTTCTCAATTCACCTGTTTGAGCGCAGATGCCCTCCCAACCCCTCCTCTGAAAGCACTCACCCGCCGAGAAGCTTCGCGTTCTTTCCGCGCATCGCGCAGGGCGCGCTGACTGGCTTCAGGTGGCCGAGAACAACGGCATTTCGCGAGCAGTGGCCTACCGCATTGTCGCCTCAGGACGCGTGGAGGATCTGCCACGCGGCGGCGCTCGGGGTAGCGTCGTGAAGATCACAGAAGAGGCCAGGAACAAGCTCGAAGAATACCTCAACGATAATTGCACATTTACGTTAGAAGCTATGCGTACGATGCTCTTTTTGGACATGGGAATTAACGTCTCCACCTCAACGATCTGCCGCCACTGGCTGGGTATGTTGTACACGGTAAAACAGACACGCATCGAGCCCATGACGTGCAACAATGACATCAACAAGACCAAACGCTTCAAGTTCGCGGAAGCTCTCAAGGACCATCAAAAAGACGGTGACTGTATTATCTACTTTGATGAGACTAACTACAATGTGTACTGTAAGCGTGGTCGGGGACGCGTGCGTAAAGGAGAACGCGCTACACAGGTGATGCCACCGTCAAAAGGGGTCAACTTGCAAGTCCAGTGCGCGGTCAACTCAGCTATGGGTGTTGTACTCCATCGGCTGGAGAGGGGGAGTATTCGTATGGCCCAAAATGCTGCCTTTATCGACGAGATCTACCGTACAGTAAAGGCGTCTCCTGTCTTTCAAAGCAACTTTGCCGGTAAGAAGGTTGTTATCGTCCTGGATAACGCTCCTGCACACCGTCAAACGGAAGAGCGGGTGGATGAGCACGCCGACCTAAAGCTACTACGCCTCAGCGCCTACTCTCCGATGTGCAACCCCATCAAGGGCTGCTTCTCCGTGCTAAAAGCACGGATCAAGGCGTATCTTGCTTTGTATCGCGAGGAGATTTGTGATCGAAGCAGCATGACGGATGATGACGGCACCCCGTTGACAATTAAGGAGCGTACCACGCGCTTCTTGGAGAAGGCGGCTGAAGCGAGTATCAAGTGCATCACCCCCACGTTGGTGACGAATATGGAGTTGCACTGTCGCGATGCGGTGAATGCGGCGGAGAAGATGAACGACATGGTTTACGGAATCTAGGTCAGTAGATCGTCTCTTTTTGAATGAGATTATTCTCGGATTCATTGGTGCTTTTAATCACGTAAGAAGAAAATTGCAATAAACAAAAACATGTTGTCCACTTTGCTTGAGATTATTCTCAGTTTGGACGGGCAAAGGTGTATATCTAAATATCACTCTGTCTCAGCTGATATATGGCGGAAAGTGTAGGTGTCACAAAACTTTTGTCGTAGAGTGAACCCACGGGACTCTATCAGATTTTACAGTTCTTAATCCAGTGACATTTTTTTAGATTACGTATCTATCGGTTGCTGATTGGTCAATCAAAAGGTCACAAAGTCCCCTTGACTTGACTAACGAAGCGAAGTGCGTAGAAATCGCCTTCAGTTGCAGAGTCTCCAATCAGCAGAAACATCGCAACAGATAATAGAAAACATGCCGATCGAGCAACTGAAGACGGTGCTGCGATTGCAGGCAACGGTGGTGGAGGGCTTTGGCCGCGGTGGCAAGCAATTGGGGTGCCCCACGGCCAACCTCTCGAGTGAGGATCTGGGTGATCTCCTGGAGCTGCTACCTACGGGTATTTACTGTGGCTGGGCCACGGTTGACGGCAAAGGCCCGTACAAGGCTGTCGCTAGTATTGGCTGGAACCCCTACTTCAAGAATAAGGTGCCACACTGGAGAGAGGAAATATGGAGAGACAAAGTTAACGCTAACTACCCGTGTGCGCATTATAGGAGAAGACGGTGGAGCCGCACTTACTGCACAAATTCGATAAGGATTTCTACGGTGCGCAGCTCAAGTTTCTCATCACGGGCTATATTCGCCCGGAGATGAACTTCTCGTCGCTGGAGTCGCTGATCAAGGCCATCCAGGACGACATTGCGCAATCCGATGAGTGGCTTGACACCCCCGAGGGCAAATCATGGTCACAGGATGCGCTGTTTCAGTAGGTTAGGAGAGCGCGTTCAGTGCACGGCTGACGTGTTCAAGTTCTAGATCTGTAACTTTGGTCTGCGAGATAATATGATGGTAGCGGATATTCATGCGACGCATGTGAGGGCAGAGACAGCAGCACATTTATCTATTCTCGCTTATGCGTTATGCTTTACTCTTTACCCATGACAATACAGATAACACCGAGGACCATCAGCAAAATGCTGGGGATTTTCTTGCGCAGATTTCGCTCTCGGAACAAGAATCGACCCATCAAGACGCTCCAAATGCAGCCTGATCGCTTGATGGCGATCACGTACGAGACCTCAAGGTGCTGCGTCGCCACGAGGTTAATGTAGTACGCCACGACGCTTGTGACGCCCGCTAGGATGACGAACTTCCACGGGATTTTCATTTCCTGTCCGATCGGGAGGTAAATCTCCTCTCCTCCGACACGCATTTTCTGCAGGATGTAGCTGCCTCCCGCCACAATGACCTGGATCGTAGACCCATACACCAATGGTGTGGAATTCTGCACGCCGATCTTATCGAACGCATTGGAAATGCTCCACAAGAAGGCCACGAGGATCATATACATCGATCCTTTGCTCGCATTCGATGAGTCCATTAGCAGATCTTTGCTAGCATGGTCGTCTTTGGTACCTTGTAGCCAGAAACCTCCCATCGTTGCGATGGAGACACCTAGCACTCCCGAGACAGTGGGAACTTCGCCTAGCACAAGGAACGCTACGACCACCAAGAATGCCGGAGTGAAAGACAGAAAAGGAACCGTGGCGGACAGCGTGGAGATCTGAATTGCTCGGTTGTACAGGTAGCTGGTGATGATGTTGATGAAGCCACTGATACACACGGATGTCCAGAAGAGATGGTTGAGCGGAGGTAGGCGACCTCCAGTGTCCACGATTGCCCAGGCCACGAAAAGCGGTGCTTGAATGAGTCCACGCAAAGCCACAACCATGAACGGGTCCATGAACTTGGTCAGATACTTGCGCAAGGGGTCGCAGAGCGCGTTAACCACCGAGTTGATGACTGCGATGGAGACTCCGTACGACATGAGCATTGCGGCAGTGGCTTAGTTCAGGTCGGCTGGAAGCAAGTGGATGACTGCGGAGACTGGGTGGGGTACGCGCGGGAGGCAGCAGCTCCTGGGACCGGAAATTGAGCTCGGCGCGTAGAGGTCAACTGGTCTGCTGGAAGTGCCGAGCCTTTTGCCGTCTGCATCAACCCGATCAGAGAGTCAGCATCACAGACACTCTTTGATTGGTTAAAAATCGACGAAAATCGACGACTAGCGTGGCATCTTTCACTCGACAGGTGTGACATAGCGAAAGCAAGACAAAAGGATGGGCCACGTCTTGTTGGTGACCACTGCCCTATCCTTTGATAGGTACAAAGTCCAACACGCGATCTTTGGCGGACACTTGATCTATGGACCTGCTCGATCGAGACGAAGTAAAGCGCCGGCTCATTGGCGTGTGCAGGGAGCTGATGGCGCTCATGGATGGCAGCTACGGACCGCTGGGAAGGGCGCAGCTATTGCAGGCGAACGCGCGGTGTCCCGACGCGCTCACAACCACTTCCGTCGCCGAACGATACTTTTCCAGCCTCAAGTAAGTAAGACGGAGCAGACGCCGGAAATATTTGGATCTAGGTGCGCCCATGAAGAGGGTTGGCTGGCAATGCCTGTTGGTGGATAAACACCCGACAGAGAAGTTGATGAGGAGAGGAAGCGCTGACAAGAAATGTTGTCCGTGGCGTGCAGCATTGGAGACTGTCCGATCACCAACGCTTACCTTCATATATTGAAGAGCAAGGTGTAGTTCAGCTAGGACTCTGTGCTTGGATGTAGCGAAAGCATATTTGTACTAACGCTTGTGACTTTGCTGCGCGTGGCGGATAGATTCGGAACCATGCCGATTCAGGGTTCTTTCTGGCGGGATTGAGCGCGAGGTGAGACCTCAGCATTGAAAGTGTTGTTTATAGAAATCATTGACGTTTTTTCGCTGGGTTGGGTATAGCCTTCAGCTTGAAATCCAGGAAGGTAGTCTTGAACATATTCCCCACCGTGTAGTCAGTAAAGGTGAGCACATTAAACTTTTAGAGTAAAAAAGATTGGCTTGTAATGCAGTTAACGATGATCTTGCAAAATACAGGACTACACCTGGCGCTGGATTGGAGCCTGCAGTACCTGGAAGATCCGAGGTGCCCTGTGCGTGTGGCGGTGAATTGGAGCTCGGCAGCTTCGATTTCCGCCGTGATTCGAGGCATCATATCGTCCAAGTCGATTACTGGGCTAGATGAGGAAACCACGGAAGCGGTAGTTATCCCTCTTATTATTCAAGCGTTTGTGAGTGTGTTTGGGTATGTTGTAGAACACCCGAGCGAGAGTGTTCCTGTGCAGCTTCTGTTCGCCCCCGGCCAAGCGTCCATCGCTAAATCTGAAGTTTGGAAGCAAACGGTTCTCCTCGATCTCCCGTGGCCTTGTCGTGGAAGACCTCAAGGTGTCAAGCGGAGCGCCCTGTCCCCTCCAATCTGCAATGTACGTGTTGCCTTGTTCAACATCACTATCGAGCCGCTGGCCGAGTTTGAGGAAGCGGAAACGAGTAGCAATACAAGGATATATCACGCGGACTCAACGGATGCCTTCCGTCTGAAAGCACTCCGGCAAGTTGGAGACCGATTAGATCGGCTAGGTGCCACTGCTGTTCTCTCGCAAAAAATCGTTCCAAAGTACCTGCAGACGTACCTGGCCACCAAGGGTATCTTCACGCTTGATCGACTCTCCGCTGCGTATATCCGTAAGTCTGACATTTCGAGATCAAGACACTCTGTATGCTTCGTACTAACCAACTATTATGTTAGGAAACGTACAAATGCTGAGTGGAGCCACTATCCTCAGTGACTGGAGAATCGATGACAGCATCGTTAGCAGTTCGCTCGGTGCCTTATCTCTCATTACCACGCAAACTCTCGGCAACAAGCAATTTATCCGTCTGCACCGCGAGGGCACCGTTGTGGACAGTGAAAATGCGCATCCCGTAACAACAATCGCGATCACAGCACCGGACCGATTCGCGTTTGATGAGCTTAATCACGTGGTTACTACGTCCGTCAAAATGCTGGCAAGCTTGATCGATAATCCGGACGTCGTAGCTGGCGCTGGATGTGTAGAGATCCACCTAGCAGCATTGCTGCGCGATCGCGCTAAACAACTACGAAACCCTGGTCCAATTTCGAACGGAACAGTGCCCAGAGGTACCCAAACCGACAACAAAGCAGCACGAACACTACGTCAAATGAGCCAAACCATCACCACCTTTGCTAATTGCCTGGAGGATATGGCTGGGCGATTATGTGGTAGTCATGCTTCTGCAACTGACCGCGAAGTGATGATCGAGCAGATACGCCATGCAAACAACGAGTCCCTGTTGGCAACGACGACTCTACCATGTCAAAATGGTTTATCCGAGCGCAAGAGCTATGACCTCTATGGTTGGGATCCGAGGAAGCGCTCCACGATGCAAGTTTTATCGTACACAATTCAGAGCGACGAAGAGAAGATCGCATCTGAAGCTCGTATCCTAGACACCCTACAGTCGAAGAAAGATGCATTAACACTGGTCATCGAGAGTGTGTCCTCGCTCGCTCGTATTGCATCCGTTGTCCGAGTTTCTTGACAGCAAGTAGCGATGGTCATCTTTTTCTATCTATTCAGCAATTATTTGCCTAAGTTTTAGTAGAATTGCTGGTCGGCGTCATATCCAGACAGATCTCCACTTGCGAGGAACGGCACTAAGAGCGGGTCGTGCTTTTCGCCTTCCTCGAGTCCGTACCGCGGGAGCAGATAGGATGTCATCACAGGAGTGTAGTTCTCGGGTAGTCGGAAGCCCTGGCACACTACGAAGGCCTCGTTACTCTGCGCGCGACTGCTCATGGGTTTGGAGCACGACACGCTCTCGAAGAAGACGCTGAGCTGCGTAGCCAGCAGATCGTATTGCTCGCAGCGAAAGATCTTAGCCACGAACGACCCTCCCTCCTCCAGCACGTGCGTGGTGATGTTGAGAGCGGCGGCCAGCAGCTCAGCCTGCACGAACTCGTCAATATCGTGCACGCCGGTGACGTCAGGTGCACCATCACTCACCACCACTTGGGCCTTGGCGCCGTGGAAGTAGCCAATGATCTGCTCGGCCGTGCGCTTAGACGTAATGTCGCCCTGTAGTAGCTGGACACCAGTAATCGGCGCCATTTCCTGCAGATCCACGGACACGATACGCACATCGCCACTGTTCACGCTCTCTACGTTACTGGCGTCGTACAACTTGCGGCTCAGCACTTGGCTCCAGCTACCAGGAGCCGCGCACAGGTCCACGGCGCGCTGTACATTGCGCAAGAAGTCGAATTGCTCGTCCAGCTGCAGTAACTTGAAGGCTGAGCGCGCGCGGAAGCCCACCTCCTTGGCCTTGCGGTAGTAAATATCCTAGCAACAGTTACGCAACGTTAGCGACGCGTGTACGCACAGGTAGAGCCGCTACTGTACGCACTCGGTTCGCTTCGGTGGACTTGGTCATTTTTGTAGCTCTTGGCTGGTCTTAGCCAAGTCGAATATTTCGAAAACTGGGTTCTAATTATCTCTTAAAAAGAGGGATTTGTCTCTTGGCTGGATTATGCAGGTGTTCTTCCTCTCTGTAGTGAACAAAAAATCAAGACACCGACGACGGCACACTCAACAGTTAGACACAGACATATTACACCGAGACGACTGCGGGTATGCGGGCGCAGGGATCGTCGGCCGGCATGGGCTTCACCATGGCGGGAGGCGGAGGCTCCCCCGCCGTGCCTGACGCGCTCTTCGAGTCCGCCGCCGACTGCTTCGTGTGCGACAAGAAATTCCACGCCTTTCGACGCAAGCATCGCTGCCGGGTACAGTACCGTGAAGACCTGATTAGACCCCGCCATTTTCTAACTTTTTGACTCGCTTCCTTATTTGTGGCAAAATTTGCAGGCGTGTGGCAATGCGGTTTGTGGCGGCTGTGCGCGCACCCACAAAGTGATGCCCAGCTCGACCATAATGCGCTACAATAATGAGCCTGTACGTGTGTGCGACCGCTGTATTCGGGATCAGAATCAGATGATGCTCGAGCGTCGACGCGCTGAGGACGTAGAGCGCGCGAGAGCTCGTCAAGTGGCGGCGCTGGAGGAAGAAGAGCGCCAACGCGAGGCAGAACGTACCCAGAGAGAACGAGAAGTGGCGGAAGCACAGGCTCGACGTGAGATGAGACTTCGAGCTATTGAGGAGAAACATCTGGGCCCACGACCGGATCTGAGGACGTTAAAGTCAAGATACTCGAGAAGTCTGGACGACTGTGCACGTGATGCACCACCTCAGTCGCTATACTCGAAGGAGCTGAGCTCGTTTATTGAAGATGCCGAGAAGAGATCAGTCGCTTTGGTTGCTAAACCATACGCGACTGGGGACATTTTTGAAGATAAAATGGACTTGGATAGCGCGGAGGCCGTGGAGACAACAGTGGTGCAGGAAGCAGAGGAATGTGCCATTTGTCTAGAGACTATGGATGTCGGAGATGCGATTTACACGACGGCGTGTGGACACAGTTTCCACTGGAGCTGTCTCAAGGATATTCAGAAGTCGGACTCGAGCAACTACGACAAGTGTCCGTCGTGTCGTGCCACGATGACAGAAATGCAGGTCAAGAAGCAGTGTGATCACCCTCGAGTGCGGCTTGGACACCGGTTTTGTCGTGACTGTGGCGCAGCAGTTACAGAAAGAGACGCCAAGCCTAGAGCTGATGAGTCTGGTGGCGCAGTGGGCGGAGCAGGTATGCGGATGTCGACTCCTTCTGGTGGACCGGACTTGAATCAACCCGTTTCGTATCGGGCGAGCTCGCACGGCGCACTTGTACGCTGTCCGCAATGCCACATTCAGATGCGCGTGCTCCCTCACATGTACAACATGTAAGTTCTCCTGTACAGCTCCTCTCTCGATATCAGGTGCCAGTGCTAATAATTTTTGTTCCTGTTCTTGCGTTTACAGGAGGGTAGCATGTCCGTCAGGCCACATGTTCCTGGTTCAGGTTGCTGGACAAGCAGGAAATGGTGGTGGTGGACGCGGTGGATACAGCTTTGGATCGCGTGGAGGACTGGGCGGTTCCCGAGTGCCATCGCGTGGTATGAGCATGGGCTATCCAGGCTCGTACTACCGCTCCACAAATGCTTACTCGGAGCTGTAGTAACTTAAGAACCAACAACACCAAGACCAAAATGTGCGCGCGGCGTGAAGCGAAAGTAGCTCGGCTCGGCGCCAACTCGATCAGAAGATAAAGTCTTCTGGCAACGCTTTTTATACTAGCTTACAAGCAAACTTACTAACAATTGGACTGTGTGTCCAGTACACACGTGTTAGACAGAGAGGGTTTCCTTGCGGCGATGAGCATTGATAACAAACGCCTTTATCGTTGGCAAATTGGTTTTGCGTTTGACAAGTGTTTCCTAGACAAATCTTGACAATTCACTAGGAACACTAGGACACGACGATCTTCACCATGTACGAAGTCCATACTGTTTGCCCTCGCACGACCCGGCCGTTGTTTGAATACAACCAGTCATCGTTGGTTCGAACATTCACAATATGCGCTTGCGGTTTAATCTTGGGCACTGGAATGTCTTCACCAGTGCCTTGAGTAGCCCAGTCCTGGTCGACTGTGGCAATCGCCTGGACGTAGTACGTTCCAGCTGCCGGGAATTCGACATCAGCGTTGAACGAACCCTTGTTGTTGGTTCCCACTTCCAGACCCAGATCCTCGTGATACCATCGCGTGACACCTTTTTGAGACTGTGTAAGGGTGGCATTAGCAGGATCATCGGACCAAACCTTCAACTGCGTGCTGTCCACCGTGATAGCCCCCGCTACCTCCCAATTAAAAGTTACAGTTTCCTTAATGGGGGTGTTGTGCGGGTACGTCTTCCAGAGAAGATATGGCTGCACCAGATCGATATACAGCAGTGACAAGCGAACATTACGAGGAACGTGGCCCACCATTGCTGTCGCTGGTAAATAGTCACTCAATGCTTCGTCCGATAGCGTCAAGCTATCTCCCCAGTTTGTTGCATTCGGCTGCTTACTGTCGCTGGCCTCGATCAGGACATTAAACGCACGGTGGGTAGCGTTGTTGTACCTGGTCTTCTCGGCTGGGTATCCTCCAAAACTTGGCGGGTTGCACTCTTTAATGGGCTTCGGAGTTGTAAACTCGTTCTCCCAAGACGCTGCATATCCCCAGTCTTCCATTCCACCGTCCACAGCATACACAACATCATTCATAGTGCCGTCTGGGTAATACTGTCCGCTCTCTTCAAATTTACCTCCAAATCGAGACATAATGCGCGAGAGTTGTTGCTGACTACGATCGTCAGGACTCTTCTCACTTTTGCCAGACTCTTTGACATGATTCTTGCCTCCCCACTCGTAAGTTATGCATTCCATACCAGCGTGGAAAGTGATGCCAAGCTGGAACAAATGGTCTCGCCACAGTTCGTTAAGTGCACGTGCAGCCGTGGTCACCATACATTCCTCGTCATCACCCAAATTGTACGGGAAATCACGATTTGGATCAACATCAAGTTCCTCCCGGACGTTGTGATTGTAGCCGTAGGCGTTAGCGGTTGGCACGATCACGATTGTACGAGTCTTGACGAGGTGCTGTAGCCACGGGTTGCCATCCGTTCTGTTTGCGTGCGACAGCAAGAGCTCCGCCAGCGCAACAACAACCTGTGGACCTACTCTTTCATTGCCGTGCACAGCACCACTGAAGATCAACTCGGGTCGCTCGGGGTCCGGCAAAGTTGCCTCATCCGTGATCTTGATCACGTACTGCTCGCATGGTACCGTCTTGTGGTTCCGATTGCAATCCACTTCCTTGTGCTTGGGTAGGTCGTACTTGTCCTGTACGCTGAATACTTCAGCGTATTCCTCATACTTGGTTTCGAGCTCCAGGAGAAACTCTACAATCTCGCCGTACGACCGTTCCGCGAAAGTGGTGACTGCCGCTGAAGCAGTGGGTGGAATCGAAATGCTGATGGCTACGGCAACCAGCGCGGCCAGCAACGCTGATACCTTCATCGTATTCAAACCTGACGGGAATACCGCAAATTCACAACTGATGTTTGAAAGGCGTCCTACCTCTATAAATCCCAGCTGTGCACTTACTGCACACTCAGATTAGTGCTGCTTGTTGACCCCCATCTCGACAGTGATCATCGATCGTCATCCCTGAAAGACGATGTCCCCAAAACCAGTCGCTGCTCATGTTGAACGGCCCTTGCTGAGTAGATAACCAAAATCTGAGAACTGAACAATCCTCGAAGCGTCTGCAGTGCAGACTCTGCACTGTGCTGGTAGACTATACAGTGAATGCTAAATCCTGTTTTGAGAGTGTTCAAAAATTGCACCATCTTTTGTTAAAACTTTGTCAGAGTGATGATTCTATAAGTTGAAGTTGATCATTCGGATTCCGCACTCAGTATCCAACAACCACGCAAAGGCGCAAGTTCGCGCGCGGAGACACCAGGCGAACAATGATGGTCACATCCGAGAAAGGCGTCGACGCGAGTGCTGGCTACACGAAGTCACGCCTTGCGCAGCTGGAAAGCATGCTACAAGAGCTAAGGAAGTGCGAGGAGCATAAACGACAGCAGAACGTCGAAAGCGCGTCCGTCGCTGCGAAGCAGAAGCTGCTTGACGACCAACTGCTGCAGAGTATGGCGCAGAAATTGTGTGGTTGTGGATTGGGGAGTGATTGAAGGCTTACAGTGCTGAACTGGTAGCCCAAGATGAGCTTGCTGCGGCGCAAGCGAGCAAGGCCGAGCTGTGTGCGGAGATCGGAGCGTTAAAACAAAGCAAGGAGCATCAAGCCAAGCAAATCGATAAATACAAGCTCGACTTGCAGGCTGCGCGTGAGTCACAAGCGGCAATGACGAAGAAAATGGGGGAGCTTGAGACTTCGACATGGACAATCAAGCAGCAGTACATCCGGTGCGCCTTCCTTGCACTTCCCAATTTAGTGGAGATATTGGAGCTCAGGTGTGTGCTGTGCGGTTTAGATCTCTTGCTTCGCGTATCAAGACAAGTGCTCTGGTTCTTCAGCAGCTGAATGGAACTAACGGGGTCGAGTTGAGAGCTCGGATTGCTGGAACATGCAGCGAGTGGGAGCCAACGAAACCCAACAAGCGCAAGCGTGTCATGGAAGACAATGTGGAGCAACAAGAATGTGTAGGTGACGACAAGATATTGGCAGGGTGCGTAGTCTTCTTTGCACGTTCGTCTCACCTTGTTATCAGCCGAAGCAAGCAGGAATTGCTACGGAAAAAGAGACTGAATCCCAATCCCAAGAACAACAGCCAGAAAATGTCGTAGTTGAACAGATTAAGACCAAGCACGCTGATGCCTTGGTGAATCCGTTGCCCTCTGCGGATACCAACCAGCAAGGAGGTGGTCGCGTTGAAAGGGAGCACCAAATTGTAGATCTGCAGACTCAGATGGCCAAACTCGAGTCGGACCATTCGGCTCTAATGGGTACGCAAAGTTGGAAGCTGCAAGAATTGGCATGTCTAATAAGCTGTGCGATCTTGCAATTTAGACAAGTACAAGGCGCTTGAATGCAAACACGTGGGAGTTCTAACTGACAGCAGAACGTCCGCGCAAGAAATTGAGGCAAAGGATTCCAAAATCGAGGAGCTGATGCAAATGCTAGAGATTTTGCGTTCGAAGCAACACGCCAACTCGTCAGACAGCAATTCTACAAATGATGAAGGCAAAGAAGCTCTGGAAGGACGTCTGAAGATGCTAGAGGTATGGTGGATTCGGTGAGGTTGTCCAATGATTCGGTTGAGATGACACTGGACAATGCTTCTGTGTATAGGAAAACTTGGCGCAGATGAATGGATACGCCGATCAGCTGGAGATGGTCATCTCTCAGTGCCCTTCGTGCACCGTAAAACTCCAGAACGAAAGCACGCAAGATTCGATCTCCAACAAAGCCGAGTAGGTCGCAGGAGAGAGACAGAAGACGAGCTTATATTTCCCCAATAAGTACCAACCAAAGTTCTTAACCCGCTGCATCTAAAGCAACGGAGCCTGGTTGTGAGCGAGGTTGTAAAACTTGCTGCCTTCCTTGTTCAGCTCCTCGAACGTACCAGTCTCGGCAATGACGCCCTCCTCTAGCAGAATGATACGGTTCGCATGCTTGATGGTGTTGAGTCGGTGCGCAATAATAAACACGGTCCGGTTCTCAGCAGCTGACTGCAGGGCACGACGAATCATGTCCTCACTGCGACCGTCAAGGGAGCTCGTGGCTTCGTCGAAAAGCAAAATGTTGGTTTGTTTGTACAGCGCACGAGCAATGGCAATGCGCTGCTTCTGTCCACCAGATAGCTCCACGCCCTTCTCACCCACGAACGTGTCGTACTGGTTAGGCAGCTCCATGATGAACTCGTGCGCGTGTGCCTCTTTAGCTGCAGCGATGAGTTGATCCTTGTTGTGCACCTCAGCACCGTACATGATGTTCTCAGCGATAGTAGAAGCGAAAAGCGACGGCTCCTGCAAGTCATAAACAGCAGCAACTTGTGAACCAACATCTTGCTATAAAGCCAACAATTCACAGAGCAACGAACCTGGTTGACGACACCAATCTGCTTGCGCAGCCACGACGCCTTCAACGTAGCAATATCCACACCATCCAGGGTCACCGTGCCGCTCGTGGGCTTGATGATCTTCGACATCAGCGACGCAATAGTAGTCTTGCCAGCTCCGCTCTTGCCGACGATCGCCACCACCTCACCAGGGTTGATCTCCATGTTGAGGTTGTCCAGCACCAAAATGTCCGGGCGTGACGGATACGCGAACGACACGTTGTTGAAGCGAACGTGGCCCTTCACATTGACCAGCGTGTTCTCACCATCCGCAGCAGGCGGCAGCGACAGCAGGTCGAAGAGCGCTTCAGAAGACAAACGCGTCTTTTTCATCTCGCTCAGGCACGACGACACGCCGGAGAATCCAAGACCCATGAATCCGCTGTACAGCGCGAACGACGTGAGCGTACCAATCGTCAGCTCACCTGATCCCACCAGCGATCCGCCGAAGTACAGCACGGAGAACAACGAGCAGTTGATCGACAGCGATAGACCACCCATAAACGCACCGCGAGCACGCTTAGCACGTTTGGCATTGGCCAAGATGTTCTTGTTGATCTTCTCGAAGTGGTCCAGCTCGTCCTGCTCCGCGGAGAACAACTTCACCGTGAAAATATTGTTCAGTCTCTCCTCGGCAATCCCCGTCATGTCTGCGACCGAGTTATGATGCTTCTTGGATAGTCGACTCGAAAACTTGCTGAAGAGCATGGCTCCGGTACCGACGAGCGGCAAGATGGTCAGTGACACCAACGTGAGCTTAGGCGAGATGGTCAGCAGCATGCAGGACGCACCCACAGCCGAGTTGAGTGACCTGTAGCCATTAGACAGCACGTCGACCACCGCATTGGCTGTCTGCTGGCAGTCTCCACTGAGCCTGGTCACCAATTCCCCAACCTTGCGGTTATTATAGAAGCCCAGCTCCTGAGACAGCAGCACCTTGTATAGTCTGCGACGCAGCTTGGCAGCGATGCGCTCGGCCACCATGCCAAGAGAGTAGGTGCGCAGGAATGAGCCCACGGAACCGGTGAAGAAGGTGGCGAGCACTACAACCACAAAGCCTTTGCGGCTGAGGCCACCAGGCGCAGGTTTGCCCGACGCGACGTCGATCGCCTTGCCCATGATGCGCGGGAACACCAAGTTCATACCCGAGGCGATAGTCATGCCCGTGATGCCCACAGCCAGCGGCAGCTTCTCCTCCTTGGTGAGACTCAAAATCCAGCCGATGTTGGACGTCTTCTCGCTGCTCTTCTTGGGGTTCTTAGACTTCAATACGTCACTCTTGTCACCCGTAGGCACAGGTGTCACTGCAGCGCTGACGCCGCCGTCGTAAGGCGCGCTCAGCTTCTGCATCAGGAAAGACCTGGGTGGCAACATGGCCACCGACTCAAGGTTTTATTACTTGATGCGAATCAGAGTGCGGTCCACAAAGCTCGTTGTGTGTCTCGGTGTAATTTGCATCAATCATTTCGGTACAAAAAACCTATCATATATCACATTATGAACTGTGATCGAGTCCAGCTTATCACCACAAGTCCAAAGTGTAGGGAGATACACTGTTGACGTGGGGTTGCTCGCTGTGCGTCCGTGTATCATGCAGCGAGGGCTTCTCCGCCTGTCGCGCGTAGCGCTAACTAGTCGCCAACATGCGTTCACTGCTGTTCGTACGATCTCTGCATCACCAGCGCTATTGTACGCTGCGGGGGCGGAGCGCAAGTCTCCAGCTCGCAAGCCTGGTCGTGCAAATTCGAGTCTGCGCAAATCCAACTCCACTTCGGGCCGACGTCGCCCGCCGCGCACCCAAGTGGTTAATGACTTGGATGCATTAGTACATGAAGCCAAGCGCCAAGGCCCGCGCTTCCAGCCCAGCATGGACTATCTGCGTCGTGCCAGTGCCGTACTGCAGCTCTGCAAGACTCGGGAGCAATGTACGGCTGCTATTCCTCTTTGCCACATCGTCGAGAAGGCTCAGAACACCCACGGTAAGGCCGAGATGGAGTGCGTTCGGATCTACCAGAGGGCAGGTCGTAATCAAGAGGTCGTAGCGTTGGCTGAGAAGCTCATGAGTCAGGACGTGTTTCTACTGAACCCTGCTCTTGCCAGTGCTATTCAGGCCTGTGCAGCACTTGGAGACGTGGACAAAGGGTTCCATCTCTTTGACGTAGCGGTGAAACGTGGATCCATCCCGAACCTGGGCGTGTACTCGGCGTTGCTCGCTGTTGCGGGCGCAGCCGGAGACCCTCAACGCGTGCAGCAAGTGCTGACTCAGATGCAAGAAGCGGGAGTCGAAATGAACGATATTACGTTCCATAACTTGATGAGTGCCTATGCACGTGGAGGACATGTAACGGAAGCCCTCGCGCTCTTTGACAAGATGCAGAAGCAGGGGATCCCCGCTGACGAACACACGTACGCTATCTTGATGGATGCTCACGCAGAGAGTGGAGATTTTGAAGGCGCCAAGGTTTTAATGGAAGAACTGAAGAAGACATCGATCGAGCCCAACCTGGTGCACTACAACGTCTTGCTCAAGGCCTGCGGGAAGGTCAGCAATTTGACGTCGGCCTTCCAGCTGTATGAGGAGATGAAGGAGCGCAAGATCAACCCTGACCTGGTGACATTTATCACCATGATGCACGCTGTGTATCATGGCGAGCTCGGTGCGATTGACCAGAAGAAGGTGAAGGCTGCCCTCGTGGGAATGGGTATGATGGGTGCAGCGTTCGTCCCGTTCATTAACTATGAAGAGTACATGATGACCACGCTCTTCTGTGGTAGTCTTGTGGGTTCCATGGGTCTGGCTGCGTACATGAACCCTGATGGCGTTATCCGTGCGCTTTATCCCAACACTGACGAGCCCCGTGACGACTCGATCATCGAAGCTTTCTTCCGTCGACTCCGCGAGGAAGATCACTGCGGCAGATCTATGTATCTGTGGCGTGAGATGCTCAAGTTCAATGTGCCTGCGGACCCGCGCGTGTACGACGTACTGGTGCGCACTTGTGTGCGTAAGCGTCACCCCGAGTTGGCGTACGAAGCGGTGTTTGAGGAGAAGCTGCCTCTTACGGACAAGGAAGGCTCGTTTGTTCTCAATCTGCCCACGACGCTGAGTCTACTGCATTCGCTATTGGCCCAGAAACGTCTGAACATGGCGGACACTTTGTACGACGCTGCCCGAAGCCACAACGTGTTCGACAAGGTATTCTCCGAGAAGGGTGAGACCTATGTATTCGATATGCGTTCGTTCCTGAACGAGCAGGTCCGCAGCTACACAATCATCAAGTTATTGGATGAGCTGCGTGCAAAGGTGGACTCTTCGAAGGGTGCATTTGTTGCCCCGAACGTGCAGATTCTAGTTCTGCACGGGTATGAGCTGCTTGATCGCCTTGATGAGGACAACGCCAGTCTGCGCACGTTGTTCTCAATGGACGACATGACACGGATTGGCGCTACAGGAGACAAGACTACGTCTGCGCACTACTACTTCCGACTGGCTGTTCCTACGGAGCGACTGCAAAAATACTTCGAGACTACGCCAGCAAACGCAGGCAAGGAGCGACGACTTTAAGGAGGCTGCGAGATCAGCAGCAAGTGCTGGGGAAGATAGCGCGTAGATGGATTCCCTGGACGTTTTGGCTTTTAAGCAAAGTACTTTGGCAGCTCACAGACTCAGCCTCAATGACCATGTTGATGGTAGATATGGCGTGTTTTGCACGGTTGCTAGCGAACTACGCAACAAATCCCCGACTTTCTGTAGGTAGGTCTACACACGCATGGCAGCGTGTAGCAATCGCAATGATAAATGGGGTTGACGTCGCGGTTGCCAATCCCAGTGGATGAGCCGCTGGCATCAGAACTGCTCTTATTACCAGCTAAGTAGAATCATCCCAATGCGATGCCATCGGTACTGCCGCTCGAACGCATGTATAGTCGCCGCAGCCGGGGTAACCTAAATCTGTCTTATCCATTTTTCGATCGCTCATTGCCCATGTATGTGAGATTGGTCTCAACGCTTTTCCAACGGCATGATACTGGTTGCATTCCGTTTTGCATTGACACGGGAGGTTGCACGACGTGCGACGAATGCTGCTTCACCGTCTCGGCGATCCATCTATGCCTATTCCTCACCCGCTACCTTCAGACGTGCAACGCCAAGATCACCATTTCCGCTTTTGCTGAACTGAGGGGAGGATGGCGCCCAAAATATCATCGGTACTCGGTTTCCACGAGCGCGAACGGCTGCACAAGAACCCGTCGATATTGGCCTACACGGGAGATGCAGGTCAAAACTACCTTGATCTAGGCAACAACGACCAAGAAGGCACTCAAAACTCAACAAACCCACCACGCCGTCGAAATTCCAGCCCGGCGAAGAAGATGACAAATAGATCGCGACTCAACTCGCTTTCGTCTAGTCTGAGCAGTGCTCGGACTGCTGTGGCCGAACGCGCTAAGAAGCTTCACGTGCGCGAGTCTACTCTGCAAGCCATCGGCCAACTGCGCAAGAACATGACAAAAGGCCACGCATCTCCAACGCAGCATTCTCAGTCCAGTAGAGGCTCAACTCCTACTCAACATGAGTCCAACCAGTGCGATAACGATCATGTTGATATCGAGAACCAGGCTGGAGTCGAGAACTCTGGCTTCGAGTGCATGTATTCCGAGGTCAGCTTAGGGGACGAAACTGAGTTCACCCACTCGTCCACGAAGGGCCCAACAGGAACTAAGAACAAATTATCGAGATTTTTGTCGTCACGACCGTGGACCAAACGTTCCAAGCAAACGCGGAGATTCAGCGATGTTCTTTACTAGGTTCACCATCGTGAATAATTCAAAATAAAAATGTGTATAAATGCTTCAAGTTGAAGTTACAGGAGTGGTGGTCATCTTGAGGAGTGATGGCGAAAATCGCTAAGCGACGCTGCCGATCCGAGTCATCTCCATAGCATCAACGCAGCCAGTGACTGCACAATCATAATTAAGCAGTAGCCAGAAGCTATATTCGTTGTTGACAGCTTTATTTATGTTGATTATCTGAGTCTGCCGGTCTGACGCCAAGGATATTCATAGGAACAGCACTATTCCCATGCCACACGCATCGCTGATGAAGTCCATACCGTCTGGATGGGAAGATTCGGGCAGTTATGAGTAACCTTCTAACCGAATCTGAGCCAATAAGCGCTCGAGCAGTCACTTGCGACCCCAGTCACGAATTGTCAGTCTGACACATTCTTCAACCCCCATGCCTGACACTAGACGCATCAAAGCAGAGCTCCTAATGAACCAGGTAGCGCCGCGTGAGCGCGCGTCGTCCGGCGGACTCAGCACTGAGGCCAGCAGTTCGTCTGAACTATCGGATCTCCTCCTAGTGAAAGATCGGCAGACGGCGCGCTCTGGATACGGCAGTACAACCCAAGAAGTTCCACTGGAAGTCGATGATGAAGTGGTGGTCAGCGACCAGATCTTGGTGTCCGCCATCGCTAACCTCAGCACAGCAGTACGTTGCAACGCGTACACTGCATTGGTATTGCAAGTAAGCTAACTATGTACTAGTATAATCTGGCAGTGATCAATTACGCGCTGATGATGCTGCAGCGATCGTATCCCAACTCGAGTCCAGAGCTGCGGTCTACTGTAGACTCGTGCTCGTTGGTGGGGGCCATTGTAGGACAGCTCACATTTGGCTATGTGGGGGCAGTAATGGGACGCAGAAAGGGGATGATCTTCACGCTGTTATTGTCCATTCTAGGTGCCGCATCAAGTGCACTACTACCATGGGGAACGGACTCGGTTTATCATGTACTAGCAGCATGTCGGTTTGTTTTGGGTGTCGGAGTTGGAGGCGTTTACCCGTTATCAGCAGCATCGGCTGTGGAGTCGACGCACAGTCACGATGAGCTCAAGAAGAGCAGGATTGTGGCCGCAGTCTTTAGCTTCCAGGGCATTGGACAGCTACTTGCACCGCTCATGGCCTACATCATGTTGGCTATGAACGCACAGCGTACAATCGGATGGAGAGTTCTGCTACTTGTTGGTGCGTTCCCCGGACTATTCGTGCTCCGACGAGCTTTCCAAGTAGAGGAGGACTTGCCGTCGCCAGTGACCCCACCGATTGAGCTTCGAAAGAGGGATTCAGAGGTGTCGTGTCGATCAAAGTTGTGGGATAAATTACGAGAAAGCTCGTCGCTGCAACGGAAGCTGTTCGGTGCCTGTGCAAGCTGGTTTCTGTTTGATATAACCTTCTACGGGAACGTCATCTTCACGCCTATTATTCTGCAGGACACGTACGGCTTGGACAAGCACCATTTCGCTGACGTTGCACTGTGCTCATTGGTTGTGGCAGCCATCGCTCTGCCGGGAAACCTGCTTACGGTGTGTATAGTCGGCAAGATCAGCTTCAAGGCGATTCAGATCATGGGGTTTGTCGTAATGGCGCTACTCTTCCTGGCACTTGGATCGTTCTACGAGCAACTGTTGGACTACAGGGGACTGCTGCTTGGTATGTACGCGCTCACGTTCTTCTTCTCGAATTTTGGACCAAACGTCGGCACGTTTTGTCTGCCAGCGGAGATCTTCTCGGAAGACGTGCGGGTCGAACTCAATGGAGTCGCTGCAGCAGCGGGGAAGCTCGGTGCTGCTATTGGAGCGGCTTCTTTTGGTATTGTCGAAGCTCGATTCGGCGTATCTTATCTTTTGGCACTGAGCGCGACAGTATCTCTGCTGGGAGCACTTGTTACATACAAGTTCATCCCAACGAAGCACTACACCGAGATAGACCACTAGACAAGCGCATGAGCGGCTTGGTTGTTGGCGTAACAATGACATTATATATCAATTTCCATACGGTGTGTTAGCTGTAGGTTTACCTGTCACCGACAATAATCAAGCCCGACAGGCTGTCGGGCTTGATTATTTGCGACGTGCTGCATTGCGCTCTCGTCTCGCCTTAAGCATCTTGTCTTGGTTGGCCACTTCGTCGCGAAATGCCTTCAGTAAATGACCACCAGCAAGGCTGTCGCCACCGCAAAGTTGCGTGAACCGAGCGTGTGTGAATCGAATGAGCATTCTGCCATCGACGGAGCTGTTGACGTTGTCAGCAAACTTTTGGAACTTGCCTTTGCGCACCGAGCAGAGCCAGTTCCTCACACGATCGTTGTCCCATTCTCGAATCGGAACCATGCGCTCCTCTTCGCCTTCTCCAGCTTCTTTCACATCGACGCGCTCAGTGCTGACGTGAGGAGTGTCTTCGAGCATTTGACCAGCACACAGCAAAGTGTGCAATGTGTGTTCCGTGTCGATTGATAACGGCGAGATCGTGGCGATCACACTAGCTCGAGAGTTGGCACTCCAGAGGCAGCTCTTCAAGATACGTGTGAGAACACTAGCGCGGTAGGGCACGAAGCCAGTGTTATCCTCACGCCCGATGGCACGAACGCACTCTTTCAGGGCCAAGTGGCTCTTGTTGATCTCAATGGCTTCTTTCCTGCGTGCAGCATCATGGTAGAACGAATCTTCGTTACGTTCGCTGCCTGCTAAATCCAGCAACACCAACTGTCCGTAGAGTTCACCGAGGGTATCACGTGAACTGCGACGGCGTAGATTGATGTAGCATACAAGATGAGAGCGCGAGGACTGGTGGTTCACTGTAGTCGACTCCGTCGAGCGCAAGTTCTTGACATTGTCGAGTACCTCTAATAGCGAATTGGTCGAATCGGCTTCCACTTCGGTCGCGCCCACCAAGCCCGTGTTGCCTTCACCGTCATCGCACACCAGAACCTTCGAGCGATCGTGAATGAGGTCTACAACGAAATACCAAGAGAAAGAGTTAATGCCAGGGTATCTGTCAATTCTTCCGCTATGGACGTACCATAGCACTTGGAACCGGCAATTTCAATGGCAGAAACTGAGACCACAAAGTCTACATCTCCCACAATCTCGGTGAAGAGGCCATCCGCGACGAACTGGAAGAATCCACTCATAGTGTACGTCTTGCCCGAGCCAGTCTGTCCGTACATCATGCAAACCGACTTGCCGCCCTGCATGGCATGCAACAGCAAGTGCTTGACGGCGTCTTCATAGATCGTCTCCGTGTTGACCTTCTCGTCGTAGCAAGTGGTGAACCGTTGGTGGTGCGAGACCACGTACTTGTGTCTCATGTCTGTACAGCACAGAGGGCAGGAGCGCTTGTTAAGAGTCCGACATCGCAGCGGTTGTTCTCATTTTTCTACCTACCCGGATACATTTTGCACTCGTGAATGACGATCTCGCGCTTTCCAACGGCTGTGATGACGTCGAACTCGTGCTTGCGCAACTCGTGAGACAGCAGCGGACGCTTGCGCACATACACATGCATGTGGTCACTGCCGGGGGGCTCCCTGTTCCCCTCGTTCTCTTCTCCATCAACTTCGAGATTCGATTGCAGGTATTTTTTGCGTAGCTCGCGCAACGTGCGTTGGAAATCTGCCGCATGAACCTTCCGCGCCGTCCTGGTCACGATAGTAAGTGGGGTAAGTGTAAAGATCTATGCAGCTGCTGTGTAAACTATTGATGCGCACCGCTTATCCATATTCTCGCCGGCAGGGCGCCATTCTCGGTCCGGCACCATCGCAAAATTCCCACTTGCGTTGTCGACGGCAAATTCTGAAGTGCCGGATCCAGTTGAAGTAATTCAGCCAGAATGATTGCGGAGTGGTTTTACTTGTGTGAGCCACATTATTGTCATGCTGTTTGAATTGCGCGCGAAGATGGTTGATTGGTTAAGAATTACTAATTTAACCCAATAATAATACTCCTAGTCTGAACCTGCGATCAGTTCCCAATCAAATTTCGAAGGAATTGCCACGAGACAGTTTCCCCCTCATTTCCCCTCTTGAGAACTTATCGGCACTGATCGTCGCCATGCCTTCGAGTCCTAATACTTACGTTCCTGATGTGAGCATGCTCTCAGCTGGACTCGGGTCGCAGGCAGCAGCGGCTACCAGCGTGGCCATGGCGCAGCAGGTGCAGGCGCAACAAGCGCAGGTCCAAGCTCAAGTGCAGGCGGCCCAGGCGGCCAGCCAGGCTGCTGCCGCGTCCTCCGAGGCCAGCCCCAGCCCGGCTCCCGCAGCCAAACCCAAGCGCCGCCGCCGGGCCGACGGTAGCGGCAACCTGACGGTGGAGCAGAAGCGCCGCATCTGCGAGAAGCACCGCAACACGCCCAAGATCACGCAGAAGGACCTATGTCGCTGGGCCAAGCTCGAGTTCAACCTCCAACGTGCTCCCACGCAGCCCACAATGAGTAACATCCTCAAGCACGAGCACATGTTTAAGGACAACGTGCTGGGTGTGCTCGGGTCGCAGCGCAAGACCATTCGTCCCACACGTCACGCTCATTTCGACCAGGTACTGGCCAATTGGGTCATGGAACGCCAGAATAAGGGCAACATCACGGGCGACATGATCAAGAGCAAGGGTCGAGAGCTCGTCAAGCAGATGGGTCTGGAGGGAAAGCTCGGCTTCTCCAATGGCTGGCTGGCCTCGTTCAAAGCGCGGCATGGCCTCATGAAACGCACCAATAACATGCAGAACGACAAGAGCAGTGGCAGTTCAACGTCGGCCGGCAAGGACGGCACCGCGTATGGAGGCATCCTGGACGCCAACAGCGGCATGTTGCCCAACGGCCTCTCAGTGGACCCCAACTACATGCTGCCTCCAGTCTCAATGGACTTGTCGCTCGAACAGATCCAGGAGATGCTGCGCGACTACGTGCCCAGTGACGTCTACACCGTGGACGAAACGGGTTTGTTCTTCCGAGCGTCGCCCAACAAGCTCGTGCAGGGCGATGAGGCCCAGTCCATGCTGGCCGATGAGGCCAGACTGACAGTGTTGCTGGCCGTGAACGCTGACGCCTCGGACCTCATGGAGCCATACATTATTGGCAACGTTGTGCCCCCGAAGAACATCAAGATGGCCTCCATCTCGCAGCTTGGTTACCACTATGTGTGCAGCAGTAAGGCGCGTATGACAGTCTTCATCTTCCAGCAGTGGCTGCGCGATTTCAACGCGCGTATGGCCAGCGCTCACCGCAATGTGGTGCTGCTGATGGACAATGCTCCGTCCCATGTGCTGGGCTGTGTAGCTCTGTCGAATGTACGTGTGGTTATGTTCGCTCCACACCTGGGAATGAAGGTACAGCCGATGCGTGGTGGCATTCTGACTGCGTTCAAGGGCAAATACCGTCTCAAGCACCTCACACTGGCCATTGATCACTTGGAAGACGGGCTGTCGGACATCTACCATGTGACGCAGATCCAGGCCATGAGTTGGATTGTCGATGCGTGGCAACAAACCTCGAAGGAGACGATTGTGAACGCGTGGAAGCCGCTGGGAATCACGGCACCGTTCACTTTGGACTCGAGTATGGAGGGAGACGACAAGAACGTGGAGGAAGAGCTCTGGGGGCTGCTCTATTGTCTACAGCTCAGTGGTATTGTGAACACAAAGGTGCTGGTGAACTCGCGTTGGGAGAACGATATCCACAAGCGTTTGAACGAAGACATGATCGAAGATCCCAAGGAGAATGATGAGGAGTTCCGTGTTCCTAACGCCGCTCCTGTTGAGCGGTCCCGGGTGGGAGGAGCCCACCTGTCCGCCAACAATGAGCAACAATCGGGTATCTCTGCCAAGGAGCAGCTCAAGTCGTTCCGTGATGTGATTCGCTACTTGGAACGCACCGGCTCGACTGACTCGCGAGATCCGCAGTTGATGAATGTGATCGAGTTTCTCAAGAAGAAGCAGCTCAGTCTGCGCTTCGACAATGCCAGCAACACGACGCTCACCATATAAGTCGAAGCCTACTCGCTCAGTGCGCTCTATATTTCATAAGTTTTCCATGTTTTTAATGCTCTGTTCAATTGTTGATCCTGTACTTTTATGGTGTTGATGGTGACAATGGCGACGTTACAGCATCAAGACACGGTAATTGATGTCGAGGTCTGGCGCCACTTCGTGATACAGATCGCTCTTTCGTCTCCACCACAAGGTCCCTGTACGCCGTCGTCTCCTCCTCCAGTGAGTTGAGCAGTCCAACGAGTCGAGCACGGAATGGTCGAGCGGCAGAACTCACTCTACTGGCAGCAGTCTCGGCGAGAGGAAGAAAGTCTTCGCGCTTGCTGCCTCCACAGGCTTCCGACGTTTTCAACACAGGTGCATCGAGCCAGGCCCCGTTCTCGTCCTGGTTACGAGTAGGAAGGCCGTCACAAGCCCCAGCCCACCAGTTGTGAATGTTGTTCATGCCAGCGTTTTTCGTATTCGTATTGGTAAGAGTCTTGAAATCAACCGCTGTAACAGGACGCGTCTGAAGAGTTCGAAGAGGTGACGGGAGTCCAGGAGTGACAGTGCTTGGCAAAGTAACAGGCAGTTTCTTCACTCGAAGCACCTCCATCTCGCTGCGAAGTGAATTCAATTCGTGCTCCCTGCTCATCAATTTTTCGTTTAAATTTGTCACGTCTTCGTGTTCCTGTCGAGAAGCACTCAACTTTGCCTGAAGTTGCTTCGAGAGTTTAGTCGACGCATCCAATTGCCGACGTAAAATTTCAGTCTCGGCGTTTTCGCCTTCTCGATACTGATGCTGTTGTCCTCGTAGGCGATGCAGCTCGGTGCTCATTCCTCGGGCACTCTCCTCTAAAAGCTCTAATTTCTTCTCTAACTGAGAAATCGTTGCGCTTGCGTCTTGCAACTCGCGTTGTTGCTGATGAATAATTTGCTCCTGACTTCGATGACGAGACTCCAGTTGCTGCTCTGTCACGTCCATCAATGCTCGATGAGCGTGCTCTTGTGTCTCGTGGTCGCGCATCATAGTCGTTAAAGCCATCCGCAAGCTCTGCATCTCAGCACGCACCAACTCGTCTGCGATGAAGTCGTCAGCATCGTCAGTGGGGTTTTCACTAGCAGTAGCGACACGATCTGAAGCCAGTAAATCGTCGATAGGTTGGTGTTTTATGGCATCAATATCAAGGACTGATCCACGGGACTTACAAGCCTCGCATCGTGTCATTTCGAGCTGACGAATGTAGCTGTGAAGGTTTTCAATTTTCCTCTGCAACATCGTTAGTAGCTCGCTGTATTCTGCTGCAGCACCAGCATTCTCCTTGTTGACATGGGGGTTATTCTGAATATTCTTTGCTCGAGAACCGAATCGCAGAGTTGACAGAGTCTCGTCCAAGTGTTGAATGCTGGCCGAGCAAGTGAGTAGCAAGTGTGTCTTGGCGTTGCCTCCGAGCGATGTCTGCAACAAACGCGTCAATTTACTGTCTCGGTATGGAATATGTTTAACTCTCTCGTCGGTCAGTGCATTAATCACGTTCCCTAGAGCAGAAAGAGACTACATCCAAATCACCATAACTTCTCACATTGACAAATGATGCTTCACTGGCTTACCCGGTTAATGTGCTTAGCCTCCTCCATTCGCACACCCGTTGCTGCTGTCTTTTGCACCTTCTCCGATCCAGCTAAATCCACGACGAACAGTTTGCCTCGCACCTTGGTTCCAGTTGCAATATGTTTCTTGGTGAGAGTCAGGATCAACACTGAATGGCTACGACTAGAGTCAGCGTTCATGAATGTTGAGCCGGTAGATCTTTGCGCGTTGCCTCTCGACAGTACTGCCATTCCGCCTGCTACGGATGAGATAGTGATCTCACTCGCACCTTCAACACGAACGTCATGCTCTTTATCCTCTCGAAGGCGGAGAGATCTCGAACTATGAGGAAGTAGTAGATCACGTAATTTCTCCTGGTAAACCTCAACGAAGCTTGCGGTGAGTGCTACATCGTACTCGGTTGGGTCGATGCGAGCCATTTCTTCAAAAATGGTCTCCATTGCACGTGGAATGAGGCCTCGAGTCTCTGGTGTTTGCCCACCTACGACTGTGTACGTCTTACCACTACCCGTTTGTCCGTAGGCAATAATGGTGCAGTTGTATCCAACCAGTAAGTCAGCAACAAATGGCCGGCCAACTGCTTCGAACACTTCTTCCTGGGTCGACTGAGCCGAGTACACTCCATCGAAGCATGAGTATGCTGTTCCTCTAGTGTCTGAATCAACTGCCGACACACTGTTACTATCAGTATTAGGCGTTGACGCGCTCACCACTACGACTCGACGGGCTGATGTATCCACGTTTACACAGGGAGACCTCCCTGAACAAGCCTCATGGCGAACTCGACAGCTAACCTGAATCCCTCGAGTTGCCATTGACACGACAGGCCTGTTATATTCTAAGAATACATGGCCTAACGTGGAAAACCCAAGCGCCGTTTTCTAGGACAAGCCGGTGCATTCCACCATGCACATAGCTTGCTTGCCGCAGTAAGGTACGCAGCTACCTTTTGTTTGTTGAAGTCCAAACTTCACTGTCCAAACTGAAGATCGGGTCGCAACCGTCGATCCTTGAGACAGTCGAGTGATCAGAGATCCAAGATCCCTGCACCGTGAATGAATTTACTTGCTCGACGACTAGGCGATCGCAAGTTTTTACATGTAGTAAACCTAGACGGTTTAACCGACAGATCTCATGCTTGCTGACAGAAAATCCCACAAAGACTTGTGTCGATCGTCGGACCACCGACATTCCGAAAGGAGCTTTGACCCGCGCTCTGATGTACCCGCGCACCAAGGCCAACACGGCCATCATCACCATATTGTCACTGGCAATATGCCAACACCTCCGCCTTTGAAAACAAGCTCACCCCTCCACTCATTTACTGCATGGCGAAATTGGCGTCCAGCTGTGGCGTGAAAACATGGACGTGAGCACAATCATCGGAGCGCTGGAGCTTGGCGGATTTTGCTCACAGAGCATGCAGAGACGGACGCTAGCAATTCGCGCATGAACGCTCAGCGCACGCGTTTTGATGCGTGGCGGGGAATGGTGGCTGCATTGCAAGTAACCCACGATAACGCTGCGATGCCGGTTCCCGCGCATGGTCGGACTCCGGGACGAGATCGTACGTTGCGGTGGTTTTAACGTCTTACCGCCGGTGCTGGATCGAAGGTCGAAAACCGCCTTTTGTTGCCAACGCTTTTGGTGCCGTCCTTCGTGTCAGCAAGCACCGCGACTGTCGATTCGTTTCACGGGCTCTGCTGACGCCGGAGCCCGAACCGCAGTTGTGCGCGTAAGGCAGTCTCGTCGCTGGAATTTGATTGCTCGCACATCAAGTGTCGCACCGCTTCAATTGTGTCTCGCATTGTGGATACCCCGGCGGCGCCGGCACTGCTGAAGCCGACGCTGGAGCACAACTGTCGTCCTGCGCTCATGCGTTAATCTGCTATCGTCGTACTCTGTGTGCTTGTCTTGTTGCCGCGGAACCAACGACGATGGCGCTGTCGCTACGGACACCAAACGTCATTTTGCCAGTCATCTCATCAGCGGTTAGGGTTGTCGAGTCAACCGCATTTTTTCCAGTACTTGTGCGCGCAATCAAGACTCGGCATCAACGCGCACGGGTGTGATGAGCGGATGATGCGCAACTCCCTTGGTCGCCGCTTGTCTTGTCTCGTCGGTGCGAGAGCGCTTGTGCCGCCCCACTCATTCCTGAATTTGCGCAGCGAGCGCGACATCGACTTTACACATTACACAGAGACCAGCAGCTACAGAGCTAGCAAGTTCGTTTGTCGTCTAGTATGTCGACCACCTCGGACCAGGAGAGGACCCCGGGCCACGAGTCCGGCGCGGCGCTCATGGCGTACGGGCCGGAAGTGCTGCACGACTACGTGGCCACACGCTTCGAGGCGGCACTAGGCCGCACCATGCCACAGATGGAAGTACGCTTCAATAACCTGTCGATCACCGCTGACGTGGTGGTGGTCGAGGAGGACGAGAGCAAGACGGAACTGCCGACGCTCTGGAACACAGCCAAGAAGAGCCTGGCCAAGCTGTCGGCCAAGAAACACGTAGTACGCAAGGAGATCCTGCGCAACGCCAGCGGTGTACTCAAGCCGGGAACCATCACATTGGTGCTGGGCCAGCCCGGCTCGGGCAAGTCATCGCTTATGAAGGTGCTGAGCGGTCGCTTCCCGCTCGAGAAGAACATTACGATCGAGGGCGACGTGACGTACAACGGCGTGGCACAGGCCGAGATCATGCGTCGCCTGCCGCAGTTCGTGGCCTACGTGACACAGCGTGACAAGCACTTCCCCACACTCACCGTCAAGGAGACGCTCGAATACGCGCACCGTTTCTGCGGCGGTGAGATGTCCAAACGTGCCGAGGAGAAGCTGTCCAAGGGTACGCCGGAGGAGAACAAGGCTGCACTGGAGGCGGCACGGGCGCTGTTCGCACACTACCCGGACGTGGTGATCCAGCAGCTCGGACTGGAGAACTGCCAGGACACGATCGTGGGCAATGGCATGATGCGCGGTGTGTCTGGAGGCGAACGTAAGCGCGTGACGACTGGCGAGATGGAGTTCGGCATGAAGTACGTGACACTCATGGACGAGATCAGCACGGGTCTGGACAGTGCGGCGACATACGACATCATTAAGACACAGCGCAGCATCGCCAAGAAGCTGCAGAAGACGGTGGTGATCGCGCTACTGCAGCCGGCGCCGGAGGTGTTCGAGCTGTTCGACGACGTGATCATCCTGAACGAGGGCGAGGTCATGTACCACGGCCCGCGCGACCAGGTTGTGGGTCACTTCGAGAGTCTGGGCTTCAAGTGTCCGCCCGAACGTGACGTGGCCGACTACCTTTTGGATCTGGGAACAAACCAGCAGTACAAGTATGAGGTGCCACTGCCGTCGGGCATGGCGCATCACCCGCGTCTGGCAAGTGAATTCGCAGAGTACTACCGTCGCTCGAGTATCCACCGCGACATGTTGGCGGCACTGGAGGCTCCGTATGACCCGGAGCTGCTGGAGAACGTGAGCAACGACATCGACCCGATGCCAGAATTCCACCAGTCATTCTGGGACAACACGTGGACACTCATGGAGCGTCAGAACAAGGTGACCATGCGCAACACGGCGTTCCTCAAGGGCCGTGGCCTCATGGTCATCGTCATGGGTCTCATTAACGCGTCGACGTTCTGGAATGTGGACCCGGTGAACGTCCAGGTGTTGCTGGGTGTGCTGTTCCAGGCCGTGTTGTTCCTGTCTCTGGGTCAGGCCTCACAGATCCCGACGTTCATGGCTGCACGTGACATCTTCTACAAACAACGTGGCGCCAACTTCTACCGCACGGCGGCGTACGTGCTTTCGTGCTCGGTGTCCCAAGTGCCACTGGCGTTCGCAGAGACCATCGTGTTCGGCCCGCTGGTGTACTGGTTGTGCGGCTTCGTGTCGTCGGCTGGCGCGTTCATCATCTACCTGATCATGCTGATGCTGACGAACCTGGCGTTCGCGGCGTGGTTCTTCTTCATCGCGTCCATCTCGCCGGACCTTCACGTGTCCAAGCCGATTGCCATGATCACGATCCTGTTCTTCGTACTGTTCGCCGGCTTCATCGTGGCCAAGAGCCAAATGCCCGACTGGCTCGTGTGGATCTACTGGATCGACCCGATCGCGTGGTGCCTGCGCGCCTTGGCTGTAAACCAGTACCGCTCGTCCATCTTCGAGGTGTGCGTGTACGAGGGCGTGGACTACTGCTCGGACTTTGGCATGTACATGGGTGAATACTACCTGTCGATGTACGACGTGCCGTCAGCGAAGACGTGGATTATCTACGGTATCATCTTCATGATCGTGGCGTATGTGGTGTTCATGTTCTTGGGCTGCTTGGTGCTGGAGTACAAGCGCTACGAAAGTCCGGAACACACGATTCTGGCGAAGAAGACGGTGGACGAGAACGAGGCCGGCAGCTACGCACTTGTGGCGACCCCGAAGAAGAGCAAGTCGCACAACGACGGCGAAGCTTTCGTGGTTGAAGTGAAGGAACGTGAGAAGAACTTCACGCCCGTGACGGTGGCGTTCCAGGACTTATGGTACTCGGTGCCGAACCCGAAGAACCCGAAGGAGAGTCTGGATCTGCTGAAGGGCGTGAGTGGCTTTGCGATGCCTGGCTCGGTGACGGCGTTGATGGGCTCGTCCGGTGCTGGAAAGACAACATTGATGGACGTGATCGCCGGTAGGAAAACGGGTGGCACGATCAAGGGCAAGATTCTGCTGAATGGCTACGAGGCGAACGACCTGGCCATCCGTCGATGCACGGGCTACTGCGAGCAGATGGACGTGCACTCGGAGGCGTCGACGTTCCGTGAGGCTTTCACGTTCAGTGCGTTCCTTCGTCAGGACAGCAGCGTGCCCGACAGCAAGAAGTACGACTCGGTGGACGAAGTGCTGGACCTGCTGGACATGCACGACATCGCGGACCAGATCATCCGCGGCAGTTCGGTGGAGCAGATGAAGCGCCTGACGATCGGTGTGGAGCTGGCTGCGCAGCCCAGTGTGATTTTCCTGGACGAGCCTACGAGTGGACTGGATGCTCGGTCGGCCAAGCTGATCATGGACGGCGTCCGCAAGGTGGCGGACAGCGGACGGACCATCGTGTGCACGATCCACCAGCCGTCGTCGGAGGTGTTCTACCTGTTCGACAACCTGCTGCTACTGAAGCGTGGTGGCGAGACGGTGTTTGTTGGTGAACTGGGCGAGAAGTGCCGTAAACTGGTGGAATACTTCGAGTCGATCCCCGGCGTGGCTCCTCTTCCGAAGGGCTATAACCCGGCGACGTGGATGTTGGAGGTGATCGGTGCTGGTGTGGGACATGCTGCCGGCACGACGGACTTCGTGGAGGCTTTCAAGAAGAGTGAGGAGAAGCGCATTCTGGACGCGAACCTGGCCAAGGAGGGCGTGACGATCCCGTCGCCCGACTTCCCGGAGATGGTATTCACGAAGAAGCGCGCCGCGGACTCGTTGACGCAGGCCCGGTTCCTCGTCGGTCGCTTTATGGACATGTACTGGCGCACGCCGTCGTACAACTTGACTCGCATTATTGTGACGTTCCTGTTGGCGCTGGTGTTCGGTCTGCTGTTCCTGGACGGTGACTACACGAGCTACCAGGGCATCAACGGCGGTGTGGGTATGGTGTTCATGACGACGCTGTTCAATGGTATCGTGTCGTTCAACAGCGTTTTGCCAATTTCGTGCGAGGAGCGTGAGTCATTCTACCGCGAACGTGCCGCGCAGACGTACAACGCGTTGTGGTACTTTGTGGGCTCGACGTTGGCGGAGATCCCGTATGTGTTCGCGAGTGGCTTCATCTTCACGTTCGTGTGGTTCTTCATGGTGGGCTTCACGGGCTTCGGCACGGCACTGCTGTACTGGGTGAACATCTCTCTGCTGATCCTGTTGCAGACGTACATGGGTCAATTTCTGGCGTACGCGATGCCGAGTGTGGAGGTGGCGGCTATCATCGGCGTGCTGATGAACTCGATCTTCTTCTTGTTCATGGGCTTCAACCCTCCTGCGAACGCAATCCCGAGCGGCTACAAGTGGCTGTACGCTATCACACCGCAGCGTTACCCGTTGGCCATCCTTGGTTCGCTGGTGTTTGGACAGTGTGATGTGGACCCGACGTGGAACGAGACGACGCAGGCGTACGAAAATATTGGCTCGCAGCTCGGTTGCCAGCCTTTGACGGGCCTGCCAGTGTCGATCGACCACATCACGGTGAAGGACTACGTGGGCTCAGTGTTCGGCATGTACCACTCGGACATGTGGACGCAATTTGGCTACGTGTTCATCTTCATCGCGGTGTTCCGTGTGCTGGCACTGCTGTCACTGCGCTTCCTGAACCACCAGAAGAGATAAGGTGAAGAAGATATGTTAGAACCGGGAGCAGTAGCAGCTCAGCTCCCTTAGAAACACAATTTTTGAACAAAATAAATCTACATGGTAACTTACAACTCCAATACTGTATTGTGTCGATCGTTCATGTGCTTAAATCTCAGTGGTAACTCGGTGGTCGGACGTGGCTGTGTTTCACGAAATCTACATGTACGTGTACAGATCAGGATGCTGTGCAAACATTGTTGATCAGGATGCTGTGCAAACTTTGTTGGTTCTAAACTCTATGAGTTTGGCCGTCCGCTGTAGCAACAAGATTGTGTGCTACGCGCGTCGTCGAGTAAAAGAGATTCCATCATGCGCACTATCTCGGATCCGTCTTCGTTGCCTGAGGTTTCAGCGAGTTGTAAGAACTGCTCAATATTAGCTGTGTCTTCTCTTGCTCCAGCCGCCTCGCCGTGTGGAATGAAGCGGATGAAGGTCAGGATAGCAGTCGGCATTCCGAGTTCTTTATGTGTTTTCACGTCAGTCGGGCGCACAACTGACCAGCCAGTTTCGTCCGCATGAAAGTGACTGAGCTCACCCTCGCCCTGAGTATGAGCTCGCCACAGAATTACTGCTTGCTCGTCTTCAACCCACTTTCGAAGCACAATCCGGATCACCAAGCTTGCAGGTTTATCCGAGTCTTCCACTCGGAACTTGACGGCGAGCATGTTCTCAGGATCAGATACACCTCTATACTGGAGGCGACACTTTTGTTGATGTCGAAGACGCATCGATTGCCACAAAGCAGTACCAGTCTGTTGACTATTGAAAGGGGTCAACTGTACACCCAAACTCTCGTAGTATTCCGCATTCCCATCGTTCAACCGCTTCGGATCCGGGTGGAACGAAGCCAGAGAGGTATTGAGGACACCCCAAGCGGTGAGAATACTGCCCACCTGGCTGTAAGCCACGTCCATATCCTGTAGGTATTTCTCAAACAGCGTTTTGTCTTCTGCTGTCAGAGGCGTCCCCTCTCCAGTTCTATCCTCCTGGTGTGCCCCCTGTAAATGCTGTTGCACCTTCTCGCCAAGCTCTCGAAGGAGTTTTGTGCGCGTTGCAACGATCTCTCGAAGGCGACGGCGTTCGGCTTCAGCCTTCAGCCGACTCTGCAGCTGACGGATGGCGACGGCTTGCCACACAGGCATGGACGGCGTCACCACGTGACGTTCGCTCTGCTTCGCTTGTAGCTCGACCAGTTCGCCCGCTAGCTCCTTCGCTTGTTGCTTGAGCAGCTCCCTCTCATTCTCAATTTTCTTGCAATATTTGAGTCGCCTCTTGGCTGCGTTAGCATTCCGTATCTTGCGGCGTTCTGCCAATGTTTGGTTTCGTGAAGTCTTGTTTTCCTCGGAGGAAGGAGTGCTGCAGGACGAGAGCAGCGCCTCCGTCTCCGCTACGAGTTGGTGACTAGCGGACAGCAGCCCCGCAGGACTAGCTACCGCTGTGGGTACATGACGGATCGCTTCGGCCGCTGTAGGGGTCTCGAAATCGCCCAGGAGCTCCGATATCTCAGACAGAAATGCCGCTTCATCCGGGTGAATCATCATGACGCCACGACAAACACCGAAAAACGAAAGTGACGCTGGCTTTTCAATTACTGGCTACCATACAAAATCCAAGTTGAGTATTTTGATAACGATGAGTCCATAAACAATTGTAATGGAAAGTTTGCAACATGTCGACAAGAATCTCAAGTTGAGATACTACTGTAGTACATGTAATTGCAACATCGTGTACTGTAGACGTTATTACATCCTAGCCGAAGCTGATGTACAAACTCAAATGACTTAAAGATTTTGTGTCTGAATGCTCAACATGCACCTCGAAGCAACAAATCCAAGCACACTGTGTCAGCTTGAAGTAAATATTATATTAATAAGTATTATATAGGAATGTCAACTGAAAACCTGGCCTCGAAAGTACACAGTATTTTCTTACAACTCGCTGAAACCTCAGGCAACGAAGACGGATCCGAGATAGTGCGCATGATGGAATCTCTTTTACTCGACGACGCGCGTAGCACACA